CAGCTTTCACAGCCTTCCACTTTTCCACACCAAATATCACAACTGATATTTTGGCAGTGTGACGTGAATGGAAAGAATAGTATTTAATTCCTATGTGTAAGATTTTCATTGCATCTGTCTTGACCTTTTATAATTTCGTTTTGAGATGTTAACATTACAAATAAATGGCATACTTGTAAGTGTGTAGGTACTGCCTATTTATTCCTGTACATAAGTTGTATAAATGGCTTCCATTGCACAGTAAAAGAAAGCCCCATATTTCAGTGCACTTAACATTTTCAGTCTTTTGTCACTCATTATTACTAGATGTTGAACATGCCTCTCAAACACTTCCATAATATGCCTTTGAGATGTCTTTTAAAAAGGGGTTTCAGAGCATTTCTGATTACTATAGCTGCTGCCAACAAAAAATGGTTTCCCTTCACTGAAGAATCTGTCAAAGCAAAGGTGAGGAAGGTGTATGGTAACTTGAACAAGTAACGGTGCAAGTGGAATCTAAAGTGACCATACAAGATGGCATTTCAGCAATCACAAAACATTCACTAATTTTCTAATTACAAGTAGCACGTTCTTAGCAGGCTGATGTTTTTTAATGAGAAGTTATTCACTAGGAATTTCCTTTATTTGAAATAATGTTTGGAAGTTAGACAGTGCCCTCTGCTGGGCATTGGCTCCCATAGCAGTTGTTTGCAAAGCGCCCCAAATGTTGACAATTCGTGAAAATGAACACAAAATCTGTGTCTTTCTGCTCAAGATATTTGCTGGTTTCAAGGAAGCACATCTTTTTGTGGTTCCTTTATGCATTCTACTCTACTTGGAAGCGTTCCGTGCAACAAAAACGGGTCTCAGTTTGGATGGCAAAGAGCTTTTGACTAATTAAATTTGAGCCCGGTTGGCTTGAGCTGACAGTGTGACTTTATCACAGTGAGCAGCAGGAACATGTAGCGCTATACATTCCAATTTTTACAAAAATAAACTCAATACTCTAAGAGAATATTCATCAGAAAAAAAGGGTGATTAAAAAATTACAGTTGAATTTACTTCTGTGTTCTCTTGTATGTCTTTATTACATTATTTCACAGTTAAAAATTTATAATTATGAGAAGTCAAAAGTGTTATTTTTCTCTTTATCCTTTCTTTAAGTTGTTTTGATTTTTCTGCTTGTTGTTTTGCCAACAAAAATAACAATACTGTAAGTTTCACTTAATAATTCTATTCTGATGCCTTTAGATTTTTGTAGAGTCCATTAAAAAATATGAAACAAAACAAAAAACCACAACAAAAAAACCCAAACCAAAACAAAGCAGTTTACCCAGGTTGTAACTTGAATTTACAACTTACAGCAAAGGGGAAAGAAATAGATTAATTTCCCTAGTAATTTAACTGAAAACATTTAGTAAATTTAAAACGTGAAATTAAAATCCTTCAAAAACAGAATATTAAACTGTAGTAATCCAGCATTTACAGAAAAAAATTAAACTGATGGCATAGAAACCATTATATAGCCTTTAATGAAACTTTCATGACTTTCAGGTCTCTTCCCTAATTTTTCTAAGTACAGAAAAAAAATGGAGAGAAACAATTGCTTAAGGTTAACTGAGAAATTTCTATTAATTGATTGACAGGTTGTTTGTACCTTAGCTTAAAGATGAAGCAAAGCAGCTCTTGTATTTATTGTATGTTTCACATGTTTCTGCAAATCTGCAGACTTTTATAAGCAGATTGTCCTTGCAGAGTTGTCGGTGCCAAACCAGAGATTGTCTGTCTGCTGACTTCAAAGGTGAACTTCTAGGGGAAAATGCAGCCCCTTGCACAGCACCAGCCCCTCCTACAGCACAACTCACTCACTCTCAGGATGGCAGCTCTGGAGTAGAGATGACAATGTGCTCCCAGAACTCTGTCCATTCATAGCAGTGCCCTGCAGTCAGCCTTTATTTACATGTGCCTGCAGCTGGAAGCCTCTTTGCTTCTCCAGGGGAGCTCCGTGCCCTCTGCAAGGAGCTGGGAGCCCTGCAGTAACAGACCCCCTAATTAATGGTCACAGCTTGTCATTAGCTGGTCACTGAATCTTCCTTGATGGCCAGCTAATGAACATCCCACTGGCTTATTGTGAGGATTGGTCAAGATAGACAGTACAGGTAATTTATAGCTGAAGCCCCAGCATCCTAATGGCCTTCCCTGAGTAACTGCAATCAACACAGTACTGCTAAGTGGCACTACACTCTTCCTAATTTATTTCTCAGCTGAAACTATTTCATGTTGAATGGAAACTTCAGATTCTACACTTAAAGTTATGTTTGCATGCTTTATTTTGGGGGAAACGGCTTTAAGAATTTAAGAAGTAAAACAACCTTAATCTTCAGGACTTTTTTTTTATGATTTTTGCTCTTAGCAGAAGATTTTTATTCTTAAAAAACAAATCTATGCTCATAATATTCATCTATAAAAAGCTCAGAAGCCCACTCAGAGCAAAAATCATTTATCAGGGGTACCTGTTAGCTGTAGGAGCCTGGAGAGCTTTGATGGTTCAGCAAAAATCCTGTGGTGTCTAATCTCTGCGAATCATGGATAAATTGGCCAGAAGTTACAGTCTCTCTAGCTGTGATCTTGCCAGCTCTTAAAAGCTATAAAGTTTCAACCAAGCCTTGGCTTGGTAGGAAAGCTCTGGAAAAAGCCCAAGAAGTGGCAGTGATGCATTAGGTAGCACTCTTCTCTCCAAGTCTGGTAGATAATGCCATAGGGGTTGTCCAATTTGCACAGAAGGTGGCTTTGGCTTTAGATGTGCAGGTACCTTCTCCCATTTCAAGAGTGCAAAGATTCCACTGTCACCAAGACATTCATAATCCTTTAAGGTTTTATATTTTCATTTTCACAAATTCAAATATCATAATTATGATGCAAAACCAAAACAGAAGCAAATCCCAAAACCAAAACCAAGCAACCCCTACCCAGCCCCACCCTCCACCTGGTATATCTGCAGTGAAACTGCTGTAAGAAACAGGGTTTTGTATGGCAGGGAACCAAGAAACTGATCATGTTCCATTACAGGTTTTCAGGCACATGACCTACATTAAGTGGTGTCCCCATGCTCATCTCATTCCCTGCAAATGGCTTCAAGATTGCAGAAGTCCTTCCCCCAGTGATTCCAAATTGCACTTCTTGAGCCATGAAGAGATTGAGAAATTGAGTTTCCAGGGAGGTGTCCTGACCATGGCTCCCTGGGGTGAAAACAGGAGCTGTGCTTGTCTTTAGAAAGAGAGTTTTTGCCCTCTCACTGAAGATACTCATCTAATATTTGACAACTTTGCTCTAGAATATGTGATATTATTAAAATTTCTCATTATACAGAAATTCCACTTCATGCTCTTTGATTATGAACTCATCTAATATTTGACAACTTTGCTCTAGAATATGTGATATTATTAAAATTTCTCATTATACAGAAATTCCACTTCATGCTCTTTGATTATGAATGAGACCCTTCTCTCCATCCTAGTTTCAAGTACTGGAACACTCGTGTATCCTTAGCAGGCCTTGCTTGTAAAAGGTACAGCAGCAACCAAACCTTCTTTAAATGACTAAAAAAAATGAGTTCCTAAAGTTCCAAAATGGATTGGGAAAGTAGCAGACATGGTAGTTACCTTTATGTTGCACACTTGGGACACAAACTTTTGATTCCAAATCTTTCATGGCATGGATGTGAGAGCTCAAGCCAGGCAGGGGAGAAATTTCTAAGACATTTATTTAATGATTACTTGTCTTCTTGTTACACATAATCCTGCATTTTCTTTCATGCTAAAAAGTAAATATTATATTCAAATATTAATATTGTGTGTTTTAGAAGAACCAGGTCCCGACACAAAACAGTATATTTTTGAGGAAATTAATTGAACCCAGATGGACTTATGACATCTTGGTACAGATGAAGTAGTGCTAACAATGGTTTTTCTCATTTTTTGTCCAGGAGCTGTCATCAGTCAGCTTTAAAGTCCAAAAATCAAAAACTGAAAGTGTCAATAAAATATGAATTTGGTCTCAGCAGTAATATAAACTCCATGGAAATACTCTCTTCAGGGGGGAAAAAAACACTTCTTAAATCCCAACACTTTCTTAAGTTACTGTTTAATTATCCCCTGAAGGAATGCCCATGGCAGTTGAGAGGAGTTGGTGCATGTTGAGACAAATCTCTTTAGAGCAGTGAACGGGAGATCTTCAGCTGTGTCTGTCCTCTTGCTTTATCTAGTCTTACCAATACACAAAAAGTGTGCAAGTTGCCATTTTGATCCCTGTATGTGCTCAAGATAAAGCCCAAAGCCAAGTGATACAAATAAAATGTAAGATTCCATAATGAAAATAAACAAAGTGAAGGCATATTATCTTTTAAATCCTCATTATAATAATTAAATAAGTAATGCTGTACATATATATGAAATTACTGCTCCCTGCTGCATGTTCTGCTAATGGTTCTTCCCATTCTAATGTTCAGGATTAGTTCACATGTGCTTTTTTTCAAGTGTCAGTGCTTAAAACTTTGCTGCTAAAGTAGTTTAGCAATGAGTACTAGCGATCCCTTGGGAATGGAACTCTACAGGAATACACCAGCCTCTTTGCAGAAACCATTACAAGGCTGAACTGACACAGATGTAACATCTATTTTACCTAACTTTTATCTTTTTCAGAGAAAACATAGAAATATTTTGTTAAGTTAGCTCCTTTGGAAAAGATATAGTCTCTGTGTTTCCTAAGTCTTTCTCCTTAACAATGAAAGAAAACATATTGAAAAAAAATTAATTATGTTTTTACATATAATTTAATTTCATTTCTCTTGTATTTATTTTCAGAAAATGTATTGAACCTAGTGTCAAGACAAGCAGATAGTCTTGGAAACTTTCAACAGCAGCTGGAAATTGAGGATCTCTTTGAATATTTTGGTTTTTAAAAAGCAATTGATTTTAAATTTTGAAATAAACATATTTTCTTACATTCTTTGCAACAGGCAGTTCTGCTAATCTAACCTGCAGAGCTTTCTTTGGATACAGTGGAGACGTCAGTCCTTTAATCTACTGGATGAAAGGGGAGAAGTTTATTGAAGATTTGGATGGTAGTCGAGTCTGGGAAAGTGACATTAGGTAAAAGAAAAAGGTTTTTTCTTTTTTTCTCTATTTTTTTTTTTTTTTGATAGTTAATGTTATACTTTTTTTTTCACAGACTAACTAAAGAGCATATTGGGTCTGATCTTTGTTTTTGCAACATACATCCTTTTCCTTTTTGACTCCAGCAGTAGAGAACAGAAAAGTGCCCTCCTCTAGCCAAATCTGATGTTAGAGCCTTGCAAAAGCAGAATAGCTACCCAAAAAGAGCTGTAGTATTGACCAGGTGCAATTTACCTAGTGACTTTTTCAAAATGTGTCAATCTACTAAAATAACCATGAGGACACTTAGTAAGATGAAATAAAGAAAAATAAAATCAGCTCAAAAAGTATTTTCAAACATGAAGCCTTAAATAAATGGTGAAGTTTGACTTCCCTTTTGGAATGCTTTGATTTCTTCATGAAGAAAACCTGAGTTTCCTGGGATGTTATCTGGCTTGTGAGAGCCAAGCATCCTGTTATGTGGGTTGCTTATATCTGCTGAAATACTTGTTTTGGAGAGGATCTGGAAATTCATGCCATGTACTTCTACTGCTCCTAGAAGTGCTGCCTCATTTAGAAATTAAGGACAAAAGTGGATTCGTATTGAGGATTACATGCTTGACATAGCATACTAAATCCTATCCAATATGAAGTATCTGCTTGGATCTGAACAGATTCCTTTTTCATTTATACCTCTGCACGTGTGAATATCGCTGATTCTATGTATCATAGAAATTAAAACTCAGAAATTCAGGCAAATCTTAGTGTGTATGTCATGGTTTAACCTCAGACAGCAAGTAAATTCCACACAGCCACCTATTCACTCCTCTATTATCCCCTCTCAGGTGGGGAAAAGTACCAGAATAAAACTTGTGGGTTGAGATATGAACAGTTTAATAATTGGGACAAAATAAGAGATTATAACAATAGCAATAATACTAACTATAATAGTAAACATATGTTATTAATAATAATTGTAATGAAAATTAGACATAGATTAATAAAACACAAGAAAAAGAAATTATGGACAATACAATCACAATTAGCAAAATCAGGAAGACTGGAGAGACTTTCAAGGTCATCATCCCCAGATACAGGCAAAAAAAGGAAGTGCATTTCTCCCCAGTGTACTTCAAGTTTATTCTATCAAAGTCAAGACCAATACACTGAATGGCACGTGACAATAAGATCAGCTGCGTTTGGTGTTTAAACCTTTCCTAAGTCCTTCAGCCAGTGACTTGGCTGTTTGATGACTGACAAAAAAAGTGACAATAAACCTGTTACAACTTTCCTGTTTTGTGGAGGGGGGAGCAGAAAAGCTCATTTCCACTTCATTTTTCTGGTCTGGAACAGTTTGTCATTTGCTTTCCAAAGTTCCTGAAACCACTGATGTTAAGAGGGAAAGAAAGCAATGTGAAGACAAGTGGAGTCTTACACAGGAAGCCTTTTATTTATAATCTGTATGAACTAGCAGCACTGGGCATGCCAGTTCTTCCTACTGTTTGATAAAACATTATCAAATTTATAATAATGTATTCTAGAAATTATCTCTCAGACCATGGCATGAACACACTGTTTCTGAGTGGCATGCAGAAAAGACTCAGAAAAAGGACAAATATTGTGTTTGGCCCAGACTCCTGGTGTGACTCTAAACACCCAGAAAAAATGTTTCCAGTTTCCTCACTTCTACCATTCCAAGACTTCATGGATCAGGGTCTCCATCAAAGTGTGCAATGATATATTACCCATGTGCATATCATTCTGCTTAAAACAGACAATGAACTGCAGCTCTCATTAACATTTACAAGCCAAACCTCCTCATTAGAAGTGAGGAAGAAAAGGGCATGATATAATTAAATTAAGATTGCATCAAACCATAACCAAATTCGAAGCCAGAGAGTTGTGAGCTGTAAGTAGCATCATTATGTCATGATTATCTGAAGCTTCACTGTGGTACAAGCAGAACAGCAGCGATGGTTGTTTTTTTCTCAGGGTTCTCAAGGAACATCTCGGGGAGCAGGAGGTTTCCATCTCATTGATTCTTGACTCAGTTGAAGAGGCAGACCTGGGAAATTATTCCTGCTACGTTGAGAATGGGAATGGACGCCGGCACGCCAGTATTCTTCTACACAAAAGAGGTAAATATGCAGCTTTTCTCCATGAAAGGGTAAAATGTAGGGGTGGTCAGTTTGTAGAGATTCCCTCCGACGCAAGCATGAATTTTAGCTTCCTAAGAATTAATAGTCAATGATTATTTTTCCCCAGGAATTTGTATGACTTGCAAAATAAAAGAGAAAGGATGTTGTTAATTATGGCTGTCACTGGAAAAAATACAGTAACGCCTTTTAATTAGATCTCTGTAAAAGATGCATTTAATAATTCATTAACTTTAAAATTTATAAAGGCTCAATAGAGAAAAAATAGTAGGAAACTGCAGGTTATACAACTTTTAAGTTAATAATATTCTGTAAGGAAAAAAAAAATCAAATTTTTGGAAAACCATAAAAAAAAACATTCCACTTCTATCAGAAATGCCACCTAAAACCCATGCCAGGGGGGTTCCTGCATAGCCTGACACAGATATTTTCCTTCCTTCCAACACTTTTGTTTAATATCAACATTTCTGAAGTGAAATCTCATGAGAGAAGCTTCTAAGAACCTTCCTGTTTCTCCTCACCACTCACATGCCAGGATTCCAGCCTGCCTAATGGCCACAGCCATCTCCCACCGAGATGATTACGGGGAGATGGAGAATCTCCTGCAAATCAAAGCTCCCAGACCCACTTTGTCCACTTTACCTCCCAGAGGGTGCTCCACATGCCTGGGATTGACACTTCCCACCCTCATGCAGCTGCCTGTTGCCTTAAGAAAGCAAAGAATGAGCAGGAGCAGTGTCCGCATTTTGCTGACATTCCCGTGCGTTTTTTAGACTCTTTGTAAAAGTGAGCAAACCAGGATCTTACTGTGATGCTGAAGTACTTGTGGCATCTCAATTTATATCAAACCAGTGATATCTTCCCTAAATTTAGTTCTGTAGCATGCAAAGTCTGCCTAAGCTTAGAAGGAAGCCATAAATCAAGATAGTGTGACCAATTTATTTAAATGTATTGTTGGGTACCTCCAATTACTTGAATAGAACTTCATTTTTCTGAACTCTTGTCATTGCCTCTTAAAAAATGCAGATGTGAATTACCAGCTATTCTGCTTATCCTGGCATTTGTCATATTTTCTTGAATTTACTGAGATGAGAAATTAACTTATTAAGTAATTGAACCACAGCAATATGCCAGCTAGTAATCACACTCTGGTCCAGAGACATTTGAACCCAGAGAAAGAGCTTGACCCAAAAAACCACTGAAATCCAACAGCTTGTTCTTAATAATCAAATGGAATACTAAAAATAAAGGATTTTAAAAGCTCAAATTACTTTAAAACCAATACTTATAACTGACATCTATTAAGTCACCTGCTGATGGTGAGTCCTTGTTTTCTCTTCCATACATGCAGTAGCTCCAAGACTGAAAACATGTAAATCTTCTCTGTTCTGCAACCACCAGATTTCTAATTTAGCTTTGTGCATGCATGAATTTTGCAAGAATCTACTTTCCTTGCTCCCTTTCTTAGAGAAGTCAGTAAGTCAAACATACCACAGTATGTGGCCTCATGATGACATGCTTAAGAGGGAGTAATCTCAATATTTAATTGCCCTTATTAATACTAAAAGGACAAAAATAGCAGGAAAAACTTGCAAAAATATTTTTTTTTTCCTCTTTAAGTAAGGCTGAATCTGAACTAGATCTGGAAGCAAAATCTGTTGTGCCCTCGAAAGACAAGAGGTACCAGACACAAGCCTTCTACACATTTTGCATGTTGACAACTGTTTCAGTGAAATGAAAAATTAAGCATGACAGATAAAAATTTGAGCTAGTCTCTCAGGTCTCCTAGGAAGAGGAGTTTTGCACTGCTTGCTTAGTCCCCTGTATATCACCATGACAACCTTTCGGTTTAGGTTTCCTTGTTTAGATCCATATTTATTCTCTGCTAGGATTGAGTTAGCTGTTTATTAATTTCTGATTATTTGGCTGACTTAGAACAGTTGGGACCTAACAATTAGATAAATTTGCTTCCTGTACACCAAGACATTTGCAGATATATTAGTTTTGGCCAGTTTTCTAGTTAGTGATCTTTTTCCCCAGCAGTATAAGAGTACAAAAACGATGAATCTGGAATGTTCACTGCATACCTGAAAAAGAAATTATAATCCTTCTTAAACTTCCTGTGTAGAACATTATCACCAGGATTAGAAGGGACAGCAAAGCAAAAACTCTGCTGCTGAACAAAGAGAGTTCCTGGAAAAAGAGGCATTTAGGGCTAAACACTGCAGTGAGCATTCAGGTACAAAGTTTAAGCCTTTCAAACACCCTTGAAACTTCTGCTTCATCCAGGTCAGTAGAGTCTCTGTACACTTAAAAGTCCAGGGGGAGATTTTAGGCATACCTACACTTTCACAGGCCCTGAAAGCATAGAAAGTCAACAGACTAAATCACCAGAAAAAGCCTGGATGCATCTTCCTTAATATTCCCACTGGTCAGCCCAGCAAGGACACACTCCCACCTCAGGGTCCATCAGAGGGCAGTCCCTGCCCAAAGCAGAGCCTGGCACGTTTGGCCAAGGAGAAGGGGGCTTCTGATCTCCCCCTGATGTGGCACTGGAATGAAAACCAGAGCCTCACCCTTCCTGACATGAACTAATTTCAGGAGGAAAGCAGAACACCGTGCCCCTGGACTCCTGCAGTGCTTGTGCAGGAAAAGTGAACCCAATTTCAGTATCCAGCACTGGGAAAAGCTGGGGCTCCTGGTACCTCCCTCTAGTGCATACACCAGTGCTCTGTGTCTCAGGGAGCCCAGCTTTTATTTTCTCCTGAGCTTCTTTTACTTTTTGACACTAGTGGAGAAGACCTATAATCTATGTTTTTCTGCTGCCACCTAACCATTTTTTAGAGTCCTAAATTTCCTCAGATGCTGTGCATAGGGAGCATTTAACTCACAGTTAAAGGCAGTAGAGTATTTAAAGCATGACAATGCCAATGCTGTTTCCTTTTCTCATTCATTCCAACAACATTTGTAAAAAAGGATAGGAAAAAGAGAGCAATCAGAACCCAAAAGATTTAACTTTCATCCCTTTCCTCCACCTTCTGACCAAATCCCTGTCATCCTTACTATAATCAAGTTATTTTCTCTTTTGTGTGGGGGAAAAAAAAATCTACTTGTTATAATCTAAGGTTGATTTTGTTACTTACTGGTGATAGGTGCCATTGATCATTACAGGTTAATCTTCAGGCAGATAGAGGAACCTTCTAGAAATTAATTTTGAGAGTGGTACTGACAGCAGCTAAGCAGAAATTTATTAATGACAGACCACAGATTGCAGACGATATAACAGGTGGATCATAGACTACAATTCTATTTTTTTCATAAGTTTTTTTTAATTAAAGAAGGCAAGCTTATAGTCTATCAATGTAGTAGATAGAAATGCAAAGGAAAATGAATGCTCTTCTGCAATATTATATATTGACAAATATGACTTTCATGCAGGATCAAAGTCTTCATAATCTTATTTTATTATAGACTGTGTTATAAATACAGGTTATTATCTAATTATGTGATTATTTTTTTGAAAGTCCTCTCTGTATGTCTGCAAGTAGAACTCTACAGCAAAAATAATCTCAAATTCTATCTTGGAATTATTCTTTAGGTGGTATGGGTATTATTTTAAAGGCTTAATAATATAATGGTATTTTTCCTGGGACAGACACCAGAACTAAGGTAACATGCTTTCCTGCATTTTTTCAAAGTATCTGCTTCCCTTCCTTCCCATTGTCATCTAGACAGTGTTATCATCTAATTTCCTACCCTTAGCCTCTTCTTTGGTTTCAGTTTGTTTTCCTATGTCATAGATGTTCTCAGTGGACATATATGAATTTTGTTGACTGCAATTTAATGAGGGGTAGTTAAAACAAGTTTTGGGTTTGTTTTCTTTCTGTCAAGAAAAATAAAACAAAAGATTTTCACTGAAATAAATTGTTGAAAGACTGTATTTGAAACTGTCCATGAAAATATATGTTTGAAAAAATATTCAAGATAATATTTCCTAGATGGAATGCATCTTGAGGAAAACTACCTTAATTTAAACTCATAATTTCTTAATGCATAAATATCATATTAATATTTCCTGTACAATATAACAGCAATTTATGAATATAAAATAATTCCACGTTAATTTCATATGGTTATTAATGATAATAGAAGTGCTGACAAGCACCTTAAATTGCAATGCCATTCACATAATAGTTTAAATCTGGTTTATTATTTACAAACTTCAATGTGTTATATGCATTTTCAACCAGGTGGAAACAATTTCACACAGTTGTAGTGATGAGTGACAATAAAGACTTAAAAGAAAAAAGAAACTACTTCTTGTCTACCCTCTTCAAAGAAACCCTGGATGTTACATCTCCTTTTACCAAAAAGCTTCAGAATGCTTCTGAAATTTCTGAAGGGAAACTCATCATATGAAATATGAGAACAATGAGTTACATTTCAGCTTCTGCTAGTTGGGCCTGAGTACTTAGTTCAATCTAGTGAATCGCTGAGTCTCAGTGAAAGCAAAACTGTTGAAGAACTCCGACCCACTTGGTCAGTTCCGACCTTACACAAGTCTCTCTTCCACTGTATAAAGCATCCAGGTTTTATTCTGCACTGCAGGAAAACCTTTTCCAAGACCCTCATCGGGTTTTAGAATTGGAATTGAAATTGGATTGGATTTGATGGAAATTGGTTTTTCATTCACCTATGGCCGTTGAAGAAGTCTTCAAGCTGTCACTGTGCTCAGCAGTGCAAAGGTTCATTTTCCCAAGAGGTTCACGACACAGGGCCAAAGGTCAAATATTGGCTCCCTTCTTGTCCCAAACTTTACCAAAAGTGACTTTCTTTTACACTCAACCTCATCTAAAATCAGTCAACGAATAGAATGCTAAAGACTTCTGCCTGAAAGAAACTCTTCATAAGATCACTCTTTTAATCAGTCAGCTTTTTCTCATCCTTTAGAAAATTGGACTGAGATAAGTCCAGTAAAAAGG